TCAAAGTCTATGAAGCATGCGTAGATGTCGCAATTTACGTCTAGAGCTCTTTGTGTTAATATTTGTATGAAAAATAAGGCCTCTCTCGTTCCCAGTCCGCTTCTAAACCCAAACTGAACACTGCTAATGTTTTCTTCAAGATTTCTATATATGAAAGAGTGAATAACAGAAAGAAGGATTTTGAGTGCATAGCTTATTAAGCTTATAATCTAATAAGCTGTAATCAGAGCATTTGGTGGCATTTGCCTTTTTGGGGAGAGGAATGAAGGTGGAGTTCAGGAGTGGAAAGAAGTAGTTCATTAATAGAACAGCTATGATGAAACTGGTAGCAATTTGGAAAAATTCTAGCATAACAACATACACAAAACTAAGGCTGGTAAGGGCACTCATTTTTCCCATAGCCACATATGTATCCGAAACGTGGACCTTAAAGAAAGCGGAAAAAAATAAACTAGACGCGCTATGTTGAAATGCGGGTATACTGCTGCATGTTGAAATTATCCTGGATTGATCATTGCACTAACGTATCGATATTAGAACAACTTAAAGTAAAGGATAGATTGCTTAAACAAATACAACAGAGATATTTGCAGTATTTTGTAGACATTGCTAGAAGAAGAGGTACGATGTAAAAACTTATAGTCGAGGGAAGAGTTGAAGCAAAGAGACCTAGGATAAAAACCTCCAAGCCGTTGGGTAGATCAAACAAAAATATTGATAAACCAAGAGTTACATGAAGCCGAATAGATAGCCCAGGAGAGAGAAGCATGAAGAGAAATCATGAAAAATTGTACAGGCCTGATGGTGTCACTACATCCCAAAAGGAATTAGGACTGAGGAGAAGGAGAATGAAGGTATAAACTAGCCAATCAGTAGGAAATTCTGCAGTTTCATAGATTTTGTTTAGTAGACTCGTTAGGAGTTTGAGTTGGTTGTTTTCAAATAGTTTCAATGTTTTAACTTGCATGTTATTATGTCCAGGTGCTTTGTTGGTTTTTAGTCTTTTTATTGCATATGTTACTTTACTATGTGAATGTAATACGTTACTTTGTTACTGTCTAAAAAGTTTAATAAAAATAATTATTTCAATCATATGCATTTTATTTGCAAAAATTAGCCACTACTAATACATTTAATATTCACGAGTGTTTAAGACCTTTTGAATAATATTTGAATTTACATAGGTTTTTGTAAATTTTTTTCATTTTATGCACGTCTCTAAAAAATATGTTTATTTCGAAAACGGAGTACTTTTTTGATTTGAAACAAGAATACCTTTTTTGTGTAGAATTAAACGTTATTTTATGTTTTTTTTTTTTTATATTAATCATACTAATACCAAATAGCAGTATTTATGCTATATGCAATAACCAGCACACCTATAAATACAAGAGAACTGATGAGAAACTGATGAAGAAGAGTTATGCGAATCAAATTAATGAAAGAATGCGAGTAATATAACAAAATTATGATATTGAAGAGATGGTCAATGATATTAAAGGAACGATTCTGGCAGTAAACAGGGAAGTTAAAATACAGATCAGAAAGATAAAGCATAACGAATGGATGACGGACGAAATTATGAATCTAATGGAAGAGCGAAGGCAACATAAACAACACCGTAATCAAGACAAATACAAACAGATACACAAAGAAATCCGTCAGAAAATTAAGAAAGCAAAAGAACGTTGGATGGTGGAAAGGTGCAACGAAATAGAACAATTGCAGGAAAAAGGAGATAGTTTTGGACTACATAAGAAGATCAAAGAAATATCGAATATACACAAAAGCCACCACAGAACAAGAATACGCAACGACAGAAACGAATACATAGAGTCAGAAGAAGAGATAGCAATGGCGTGGAAAGAATACGCAGAAAGCCTTTTTAATGACGAAAGACCAACACAACCAACGCGCAAACTTCCTTCCGAAAACTTATCAGGGCCATCAATAATGCGAAGTGAAATAGAATATGCAGTTAGAACCACAAAGATGCATAAAGCAACAGGTCCAGATGAAATTAATATAGAAACAATAAAACTACTAGATGAGGAGAATATTGAAATCTTGGTAAGGCTGTTTAATAGAATTTATGATACTGGTTACATTCCGCGAGAATGGCTGCAGTCATCCTTTGTGATGATCCCAAAAACAGCTAATGCCACAAAATTCAATGAACACCGCTTAATCAGTTTAATGAGTCACTTGTTAAAACTCTTCCTTAAAATATTACACTCAAGAATGTATAAGATACTAGAAGAACTTAGCGGGTCAACACAATTCGGTTTTAAGGGAGGACTAGGAACAAGAGAGGCAATTTTATGTTTGAACACCTTAATACAAAACTGCTTAGATCAACGAAAAGATGTCTACCTCACCTTCATTGACTACGAGAAGGCATTTGACAATGTTAAACATGATATCATGATGGAACTACTACATAGGGCCAACATTGACCAGAAGGAGATCAGAATTATTCAGAATCTATACTGGAACCAAATGGCAAAGGTGAGGATTGATCAAGACCAATGTACGGATGAATTTAAAATCTGGAAAGGTGTCCGCCAAGGCTGCATACTCTCTCCGATGCTTTTTAATTTATATGTTGAAAATATATTTGCGGAAGCATCAGAAGATACGGAATTAGGCATTAAGGTGAACGGCATACCAATTAGCAACCTACGCTATGCGGTCGACACAGTGATTATAACTGATAATTTGGAAGATCAGCAGTTATTACTTGATAGGGTGAATAGCATAGGTAAAAAATATGGCCTCAAAATCAACATTTTGAAAACGAAATATATGGTCATTAGCAGAAACCCTCCAGAAAACCCGATATTATGCATAGGTGACAATCGTATAAATCGCGTGAAAACTTTTAAATACCTTGGCACCAGAATCAATGACCAATCGGATCCGCAACACGAGATAAAAACCCGAATACAAATGGCAAGACAAGCTTTTGTGAAATTCAGACCGCTCCTATGTAATCAACACCTAAACTTCGAAATACGCTACAGAATGGTCAAGTACTACATATGGTCCATCTTGCTTTATGGCATGGAAACGTAGACTTTGAAAAAAACATCTATCAACAAACTTGAAGCATTTGAAATGTGGTCATTGAGAAGACTGATGCGTATACCTTGGGTGGATAGAGTTCGAAACGATGACGTCCTTAATAGAGCCGGCGTGGAAAGGGAACTCTTTGAATTAATTAAAAAACGCAAGATTGGTTACCTTGGGCACATACTGAGAGGAGCAAAATATGAAATACCACAGTTAATCCTACAAGGGAAGATCGAAGGTAGGAGAGGAGCCGGCCGCAAGCAATTGTCCTGGTTAAGGAATATTAAAGAATGGACAGGAATACACAATACAGGTGAGCTGTGTCACGCCACCAAGAACAGAATTCTAGTAATGAGATAGTCGCCTACGCACTTTGGTGTATGGCATGTTAAGAAGAAGAAGATACCAAATACGCAAATCTGCGTATGGAGTTAGAAGACTAACTCCATACGCAGAGGAAATAATAGGTGACTATCAAAGTGGACTCAGACCGGTAAGGTCGACCATAGACCAGATCTTCGTCATACGCCAAGTGTTGGAAAAAAACTGGGAATTTAATCGCGACGTACACCAAATATTCGTGGACTTTAAACAAGCCTACGATTCTGTTAACAGAGAGGCATTGTGGAAGACCATGGTAGAATTGGGAGTACCTGGAAAGCTGGTACGATTAGCACAGGTGAGCACGAAGGACGCTTGCGCACGGATCAGAATTGGCAACACCACGTCGGAGGAATTCCACATTGACACCGGCTTAGACAAGGAGATCCTCTCGCTCCCCTGCTGTTTAACTTCGCACTGGAACATGCAGTAAGGAAAGCTCAGCCACAATTGACAAACGGATTTGCCGCACAAGGATCAAAAATACTATTGGCCTTTGCGGATGACGTGGATACAATAGCACAATCCACCAGAGCTGCAAAAGAAGTTTTCACCCTATTCGAGACCGGAGTCAAGGAAATTGGTCTTAAGGTAAACGAGGATAAGACCAAGTACATGGTAGTCACGATGAACCCAAGACGAAGGGCAAAACGTAACAATTAACGAATATAACTTCGAAGTCGTCAAAGAGTTTAAGTATCTGGGAGCGATCATAACATCTGAAAACAAATATGAAAATGACGTGGCAGCCAGGATAATAGCAGGAAACATGACATACTACTCTTTAATGACCATTCTTAAATCAAAAATACTCTAAAGATCAGCAAAAATAAGAGTATACAAGACAATAATTCGACCTACAATTACGTATGGATCCGAAACATTACTAGTTCTTGAAAGAAAGATACTGCGGACTATCTATGGGCCTTGTAGAGAAGAAACAACAGGAGAGTGGAGAAGAAAACACAATAATGAACCCCAGACAATATATGGAGATGAAAATATAGTCCGCTACAATAAAGAAAACCGAGTAAGATCCAGGGGCGGGCCACGTCCTAAGGTCAAATAACGAAAGACTTCTGAACATCACATTCTGGGAAAGGTCCGATGACAGAAGGTCAGTTGGCCGCCCAAGAAAGAGATGGAAGGACGCAGTGACTAGTGATCTACGTAAAATGGGAGTGCAGCAGTGGGAAATAGCTGCTCAGGACTGACAACAATGGAGGGAAATGGTAAACGCGGCCAAGACTGACCTAGAGTTGTAGAGCCAAATGATGATGATGAAATGATACCAAATGATAGCAAGATACCAAATTTCACTTAGATCGGTTGAATAGTTTTCAATCTTATCCCTAAAAATAATATACAAAAAAATAATAAATCGCCCTGTAAAACGAAAACTAGCAAGATTTTGAACGCTTTATTTTGATGTCAGCTATTACCTATTAGCTAATATCCCATTAATGATGAGACAGCCTGTATATGTATATCGGTAAAATTTCGCAGTATCACTTAAAAGATAATATATTAAATATCCTTTTACTTACTTCAGATAAATCAGCAAACGTTTTTTAATTAAAGAAAACGAATAAGATCACTTATTAAAACTAACAAATAAGTGACGTGTGAAGTATATGTATGTATGTGTGGGATGGAAAGTACTTCGAGACGCTAAACATGGTCGATAGTGTTATCAAATGTAGCAAAAATACCTGTGGTTCTTAGACTATATAAATTGAAAAATCTATATTTACATATTACTTTTAATGTATCACCTTATCGCTCTTTACTTAAGATGATGGTTGAATGATGTAATTTACTTTTTTAGATGAGTAGATCTGCTTACCATAATGTATATTTATATCATATTTATTTTACATAAACAAATAATATTAGTAGAAGCATCAGTGAAGGATTAAAGTATTTGTGAAATACAATTAAAAAAATCATAACAAAATTTAAGTAAAGCAAATGATTACACTCTCTGATATGTCATTATTTTAGTTATAAATCAGTTTAATGTTTAATATAATAATATACGTATCATGAAAAAATTGTGAAATAAACATTTTTGTATTTTTTTGCATCTTTTAATCTCTAATTGTACTAGATAACTAAAGTAAAAGGAAAATATATAAACAAATAATTAGTCCCCCATACCGTAAGGTAGCTGCTCAACTCTAAAAGCGCGACCGTTTCAATTTTGACCCATCAAAATTCATCTCTGTGTAGTAAATATTTTATACTTGTTATAGCTTTAAAATTTTATGACATTCTGTAAATTATTGAGTACATTACATACTTAACCTTACACTGCGCAATGTAGCAGATCTGCTACAACCTATTTAAATCATCGATTCCTTAAATTGTGTGTGTTTAAAGCCGTCGCTGCGCTTCGTATTAAATCTGATACGTCCTTACGTACTAGGAAATAAAGCTGCATACCTCGCAATCGTTTTAGTTCGCGCGTGAATTTTGTTAGTTGTCCGGCAAGTGCCTATTCGCATTGAGCACGCATTGTAGCTTCTCAGATTTTTTTGTTTTATTCGTTTTTTCGTAATTCTTTTATTTTGGCTGTATGAACTTTGTTTAGAAGGTAAGTAATATAAATATAGATCGAGCTAATTTATACTTTTATGAGTAATTTCTTCATAATTCGCCTCTTTTTACGGTTGTATCAGATCTGATACATTGCGTTTTGTTACAGGGTCATTATGTATGGTAAAAGACCTTTGTTAGAGCGTGAATTAGAGGAGTTGGCAGCAAATTTTTGGAACAGTGATGACGAATTGGACAATAGTGATTCTGAAGAATGTTTTAGAGATGAGACAAACTTAGATCCTGACGAGAATATTGATATTCAAAGCTTACCTGTAGAGTTTGAAGATGAGGTTACTGTCACAGAGTTTCCAGACCAACCAATAGAACCTATTGAGGAGCCAACTATCGTCGATGTCGATGTGGAGGTTGAGCCAATCACTACTCGAATCAAAAATATATTGTGGAAGAAAAAAAACCTATCCATTGACGAACTGGCGAAGACTTTTAGAGGAGATACCAGCCTTTCTAATGCTATAATGGATTTGTCAACACCATATGCTTTTTTCTAGTACTTTTTTGACAATGAGTTGATCGAAAAAATTGTAACAGAGTCCAATACATATGTTATTCAAAAGGATCCGAGTAAACCTGCTGGACTGACCACCACAGATATAAATCAATACCTAGGAATTTGCATCTATATGTCCCTAGTTCACATGCCTAATTGTCGTAGTTATTGGTCCAATTCCCTAGTCTATCAGCAAATAAAAAACGTAATGAGTGAGAAAAGATTCGAATTTATCAGAAAATGTATACATTTCAACGACAATACAAGTTTGGACCAAAATGATGTGGATCGAGATCGTCTTCATAAATTACGACCCCTTGTCGATCATTTGAATAACAAATTCCAAAACATATCATTGGAACAAAAACTTTTAGTAGATGAGCAGATGTGCGCCTCAAAAGGAAGGCACTATATAAAACAATACATGCCTGCCAAACCCCACAAGTGGGGATACAAACTTTTCGTTTAATGCGGTGTTAGTGGATATTTCTACAATTTCGAAATATACACTGGTACAGAAAATGATAAAAGGAATCGTCGGGTAAATGAAACAGACCTAGGAGCAAGTGCCAATGTAGTTGACAGATTATCTAGGATTATCCCGGAAAATTACAATTATGTTGTTTACTTTGACAACTATTATACGTCATTGCCTTTACTTCATTATCTTGCTACCAAAGGTATATATTCCCTAGGCACTGTTAGACGAAACCGTATTCCAAACTGTAAGTTACCATCTGAAGATGAAGCAAAAAAAATGGATCGTGGGACTTCAGTTGAGTATGTGTGTGACTTTGAAGGCGTGGAAATATCGTCAGTGGCCTGGAGAGACAACAAGACTGTTTGTTTGTTGTCAACATATGCTGGAGAATTGCCGAAAGGAAATGTTGAAAGGTTTGATAGAAAAAGAAAACAAAAAATCAAGATTGAATGTCCTAAGTTGGTCCAGGAATATAACCAACATATGGGAGGGGTGGACCTTATGGATAGCCTGATTGGCCGCTACAAAATCAAAATTAAATAAAAAAAGTGGTATATGAGGCTATTCTATCATCTTCTTGATAAGACGCTTGTAAATTCTTGGCTTCTTTACCGTCGATGTTCCAGAGAAAAGGAGGCAGAGAAATGTATGAAACTTGCCGAGTTTCGGGCTGAAGTGGCATATTGCTTATGCAACGTTGGAAGTAATCGTTTGGTGAAGAGAGGAAGGCCATCAGATCTTGAAAAAGAAATAGCCGAAAAAAAGAAAAGGTCAGCAACAACAACGTATATTCCTCCAAACGACGTAAGGCTTGATGGTCACTCACACTGGCCATTGTACAAAGACACAAGACAGAGATGCAAGATGCCCAAGTGTACTTCTTTTTCGTATATTCAATGTTCAAAATGTGGACTATATCTTTGCCTGAACAAAAATAATAATTGTTTTCATAAATTCCATTCAACTTAGATATTTAGTTATTGTAATATATTATACTTATTAATAATGTAATAAAATTTGTTTTGTAAAAATTTCCGCTATGTATCATAGACAACAAGATTTTTCAAAAAATTAATGTTTCTTTGAAAGTTAGATTTTTTTTACTATTTTTAGGCATAAGTTTATACCCTAATGCAGTTAAAAATATTTTTTTATTACAATACAAAAAATCGCGCATTATAGGGTTAAAACTACAAGTCTACCCTGGTAACTATTTTTTTGTGTTTTTACTAAAATACCTTAAAGCGCGGATGGGTTATCATAGACTCAACTATCTATATTATAAGTATAATATATATAAGTATTATAGTATAAATTATTTACAATTGATACATTTTTATTGGAGTTTAGGATGTTACTACTTATCTTCTTTTTCTTATGGTGCCCTATGCAATTGGTGGATGTTGGCGACAATTCTTGTCTCGATCTTGTGTGACTCTAAAGAGTCCATCGGCATCGAGGTTTGTCCAATCCCTTATGTTTTTAAGCCAGGAGTATCTATTTCTTCCGATGCCCCGTTTTGCATCTATCTTTTCTTCCATAATAAGTTTTAAGAACTGGTACTTGAAATTTCAAAATATATGACCCAGATAAGCAGTTTTTCTTCTTTCTATTATTGGCAGCAATTTTCGTTCTCTGTCCATTCAATTTATTACTTCGACATTTGTTGTGTGATCTGTCCAGGAAATTTTAAGTAGTCTTCTAAATACCTACATTTCAAAGGCCTTCAATCGGTTCATCACATTGGCCTTTATGGTCCAGGTTTCTACACCATAATATAGCAGTATGGAGTAAATGTAACATTTTACAAAGCGATATCGAAGCGTTAAGTTAAGGCTGCTGTTGCTTAGCAAGGTTCTCATACAAATACGGCTATATTTTATTTTCTTTTAATTAGTATTTTTGAAAGACAATATTTTTATTAGTACTTGTAGAGTATTTTCTTTCATCTAATGGAAATATTTTGTGTGTTTATGCTTACCTTGTATATGGGCGCCGGATGGCACCCGGCGCATCTTCTCGTCCGGGGAGGAATGTGTGAAATCAGTTACCGGGCATGTAGACGTGACTCATCAGGCTTTACATGCGAAATGTGCTACTGGAGAAAAACAAAAACTTAATAACCGCAAACCATACAACATAGCTACATGGAATGTCCGTGGTCTTTTACAACCGGGCAAACAAGCTATTCTGGAGAAGGAACTGGAACGAACCAATATCTCTGTGGCCGGGCTCTCTGAACTTCACTTCCGCAACGAGGGGCACTACATAACTAATTTGGGACATTTCATGTGCTTTTCCGGCAACACTAACAAAAGTATCAATGGTGTTGGCTTCTGGGTTTCAAAATCTCTTTCTCCTTATATACTGGGATATCAAGCTATCAGTGATCGTATAATTTCCTTAAAACTAAATGGATCTCCCTCTATTGTACATTTGATTCAGGTTTATGCGCATACCTCAACTGCTGATGATGATAAAACTGAATCTTTTTTCAACGAGCTGGAATCATATCTGCAAAATATCCCAAATAAAGAAATCGCTATCATCATGGGTGACTTAAACTCAAAAATCGGTGTTACTATGGCTGACAAACATATACGAAATATTGTGGGTAGATATGGAATAGGTGAACGCAATTCAAGGGGAGACCGCCTTATCCAGTTCTGCGTTGACAATGACTTGACAATAATGAACTCTATGTATAGACACCACCCCAAAAGATTGTACACTTGGATCTCACCTAACGGACAACACCGAAATCAGATCGATTACATAATGATTAAACATCGCTAGAAAACATCTATTAGCCAATGTAAAACACGACCTAGCGCTGACTGCGGCTCTGACCACCAACTTCTTGTTGCAACGCTAAAGCAAAAATTCAAGGCATGTGCTAGGATCCGAAACAAGAGGATATCAAAAATAAAAGATACACAACAATTTAAAATCCAATGTAATGAAAGATTCGAAAATATTTTACCAACTATCGTCACTCATGATTCCGAAAAGATTTGGTTATCTTTTAAAAATACCTTGATACAGACCTTGACTGACTGCGAGGCACAGTCTAATGCCGTCTTAACCGGACCAAAAAAAGT